GAAAATAGGCGAATCTCGTGATGTCTCCCTGAGAGTGACAGCATCCAGGGTGGACTGAGAGAGGAGGAAACCAGAAAGCCTAGGAAGAGTTAGGACTCTGGATGATGAGGAGCCAGAGGCAACCTCAGTTTGGGGGAGTGAGGGGTGACCTTAGCATGGCACTGGGCTTGACCTTGAGAGTGGGAGCAGTCCACATGGTCAAATGTTAGGAAGTGGATCCCCAGTGGAGAGGGCAGGGAGGCAAGCTGAGGGGTGGCATGATTAATGTCTCCAAGCGTCTGTCTAGTCTGAGGATGACAGACTAGAAAGAGTGGTGTGTCTCTGTGTCTGAGGGTGACAGAATAGAAGGACACAGGCTTAAATTAAAACAGAAGAGGTAATAGTAGGACATAAGGAGAAACGTCTTGTATCAAAGTTACAAGACTCAAATGCCCTTGGATAGAGGTTTTTGAACTCTTTGAGGAGAGGACAAGTATTCACCTGAAAGTGTGCAGGGGCCCAGATAGGATGGGCTAAGACTAGGGAGTGGTGGAAAAGAAGGGATCTGGTTCATTCAAAGGTAGACTGAAACATTGGCTGGAGCTATAGTTTGCTTGTTTGTAAGTTCATTTGTCCATTCACTCATGCACATCTTCATTCATCAGTGTATACAGTGATCAATCCACTAATGCTTTAATACCTTCATTCTTTCATGTATTCATTTATCCATACCAGTTTCACCTGAATCAACCAGTCAGCCTAATACATTGTCCCCTCAACAATGGATCTTTCTTTCCACCTTCCCCCTAGAAGTGGTTAATCCAATCCACAGCTGAAAGAATTAGGAATTGACCCTCTTATAGAAGTGACCATTGAAGTAAGCCAAGAAAGGATCCCATCTCTCTAGCAGTCAGCAATTTCCAAACACCTTTTCCAGTTAAGAGTCCAATCCTTCTACCATTGATTTTCTCCTGTTTTCCAGGTTGGCACAAGGTGCCTCTTTCCTAGAGCATAGGGCTTAGTCACTTCACCTCTGCCCTGCCAGCTGAACATACCTGGAACATGCCCACTGGGCCTCCAAAGCCAGCTAACACACCACTTTTGTTCTCCAGGTTCCCATACTGTCTGATGAGGAGACAGAGGTTTCAGCAAATTAATACGTTGCTGGAGTCACTGAGACAGAGAAAGCACTAAGGAAGTGCAGACAGGCAATGGGCCACATCTAAGGCCAAGGGAACAGAGTTTCAAAGGCTAAATAAGAGTGTTCCCGGTGGTGTAACTTGGACAAAAGTGGAGACTCTTGGAAGGATCTTGTTTATCAGAAGAACTGAGAGACATTGAGTGTGGTAGGGACTTAGAAGGCCACAAGGAACCTCTCTCCAAACCCAGAGGGTTCAGAGGTGTGTGAGGGCTTCCTTGGTCAGAAAGCCAAGTGTGCCTTTGGGCTTAAAGAAAGGTGAGTAGCATGCCAGTGTTGGGGAGAGGCAGTGCAGACAAGTACAGCCTCCTAAGGCCTCTCCCGCTGAGCTGGTAGCCACGTTATGTAACCTGACTCCTTTCTAGGTTTTCTGTCCTCTAGAGAAGGAGTTCTGGGATGACCCCAGATTTGCCTGGCTGGACTGGAAAGTTCATGGGGTGTCATTCTTAACTCTTACCACACTGGGGCCCAGTTCCTTTTCTTTTACCAAATAAAAAAATCACTATTAATTGTTATAAGTAAGCATGAAGGAAAAGTCGGAAAAGTGGAGAGAAGACCAGTCACCCGCGCTTTGGGTACATTTCCTTCTAGTCTTTTTTCCCATGAGTAGGCTTTGTTTTCCATGGTTGTGACCACACTGTGCCCAAACTGTGCATCCTGCCGTTTTCGCTGATATTACTAAGTCATGAGCATCCCCTTGTTATTACAGTCTTTGTAAACAGCATCTGGACACTCAGCCCAAGGCTGTTCTCCGGAAGATAGCCAGGCTGCCTGGGAAGAGAGTTTTCGTCCCCGTTTCTAGAGAGCTGCCTCCTTGACCCTCGTAGTTTTCATGGAGAAAATATTCAGAATTGCCTTTCATTTGGGTTTGCCAGGAAGCTGTCCCTGGTGTGAAAACATACTCTGTGCCCCAAGTTCCACCACTGAAGCTTTCACTCTTTGGGCCAGTGATGCTGAGCAAGGGTAGCAGGCGAGACCTATCCCACTAAAGATGAGTCTCCTTTCTGGAAGGAGACTTGGGAATGCCTGGGGGAGGCAGAAGGTGCGGAAAGGGGCCCCCTGTCCCTGGTGCTGCCCTGGATCGTGCATCACCAGGCTGGCCATGCTTAGCCCTCAGCCAGCCTCTGGGGCTCTCAGGAATACCGCCCCAGCCCTGCATCCAGGCCTGAGTCACACACACGCCTTGCACAGGAGGCTGGGCGAGCTCACCCGCCTACGGACTGGCACAGTCACAGTGGGCTCCAGGGTGGGGGGCAGGGGCCAGGCTGGCTGCCAAACGGTTGTGCCGAGAACCACCCAGGGCCCAGCCAGCCCTGTGCCTGAGGAAAGGTGGGCACGGAATCCAGAAGCCCTGCCCCTGGAGCATCTGCCATCTTCCCCATCTATCTGAGCTGGGACATGCAGGCAAGAATCCAGCCCTGGAATTGAAGGAAGGAGGCCTCCCCTCACTCCAGCCACCAAGGCCAGTCGTCTCTTCCTGTCCGTGTGTTCTGTGTCCGTGTGTCTTCCTGTCTGTGTGTCTGTTCTGTGTAGCACCGAGCACTGGCTGTCCTCACACCTTCCCTAGTGCTCAGAAACCTACAGGAAGGACCAAGGGTGCCATGGAAGCCCTGGGCGGGGTGGGCTGTTGGGGAAGCCCGGGCTGGGTTGGGCTCCATGGAGGGGACAGAGGGGAATGTCTGCAAAATGGGAAGGCGGGGCATCCTGAGCACGAAACTGCTCCCTGGGCCTGCGTGCCAGCCCAGCTCTGTCTGCCCCTGCCTGGCGTTGTGGCTAAGGCCCGTGCTTTTCACCGATTCTCAGGGGGCAGGACAGATCTGTGTAGTGTTTCTGCAGATTGCCTTTAGCTGCCCCCACCCCAGGGTTCAAGGTTCTCCCCTTAGCAGTCACTGCTGTAGCCACAGCGAGGTGCTCACCATTATCCCACACGCATGACTAACCGCTCACCGCCTGTGTGGGCACCGCGGGCCACTCCAGCTGCAATTGTCTGCATCTGTGCTTAGTTGCTTCAGTCGTATCTGACTCTGTGTGACCCGGTGAACTGTACTTTGACCCCATGAACTGTAGTGCTCCAGGCTCCTCTGTCCATGGGATTCTCCCGGCAAGAATTCTGAAGTGGGTTGCCATGCCCTTCTCCAGGGGATTTTCCCAACCCAGAAATCGAACCTGATCTCTTATGTCTCCTGCGTTGGCAGGAGGATTCTTTACCACTTGCACCACCTGGGAAGCCCATCTACTTGCTTATTATTTCAGGAAACCCTCCACGCCTTATAACCCTGCCCCCTTGGCACCACCTTCCCCAGGTATCCTGTGGAACAAAAGCCCAGAAGGTGCCCTAAAGCTGGAAAGGGCCCCAGAAAGCATCTCTCTTATGCATGAGGGACTTAAGTCCAGAGAGGGGAGCGAACACAGCAGATGATCAGCACTCGGCCCCTCCCGCCAACTCTGAAGGTGATCTGGTCTGGCCTGATGCTGCAAGGCCAAGAAAAGGACTGTGTAGTCAGGAGGAGCTGACAAAGCGACGTTTTCTCCACAGTCCTCAAGAAATAAAACTATAAAACTAGTTAAGGACCAGGACGATCCTCCCAGATCATGCAGGAGAGGATGTTAAGGGCTGTCGTGTGCTGGGCACTGAGCAAATGCTGGAGGAGGAGGGAGAAGGGATGAATGATGAGATACGGGACTCAGTCTGGGGAAGCTTCCGGGAGGAGATGGGCTTAGCATCATGGGCCCACCCTGCCTCCACATCACACAGGAGAGTTGTTGGCCTCTGACCCCTCCCCTTGTCAGGGCTCTTACTGCCTGACATGAGCTGTGGGGCTCTCTGTGTTTAAGAAGGAGCTCACTTCTGTCCCCTGGTATTTCTCCCAGCTATTCCTTGTGTGACCTGTTCCCACATCTGGATGGGCTGCAAGGGCTGGTGATGTGGGGGCAGCAAGTCCAGAGCACTGAGTGGGGATGCAGACACCCTGACGTGTAAGGAGGATGAGGCCTCCACTGGTGGATTTCAGACCAGACTACCCTGAGGAGCCACCCAAGGATCCAGGACTCCCCACCCATCCAGCTCCACCTCTGGGGCGGGATGGAGGATTCTACCTGAGCTAAGACAGGCTCCTCCTGTGAGACAGACTGACCTAGACGGTATGAGGTGCTGGAGCCTCGAGCAGTAGGGTCGGTGGGCCTCAGAGTGCTCCAGCTGTCCTGGACACTGCCCTCGGCAGGGCCAGCGCCTCCCGGTTAAGTAGCTGTGTCCGCTCTGCCTCTTCGTGGTGCTGCTCTGAGCACGGGGTTGCCCTAGGGGTGGGGCTCACCCCAGCCATCCAGACCCATGTGATGGCTGCTTCAGTCGTGTCCGACTCTGTGCGACCCCATAGAGGGCAGCCCACCAGGCTCCCCCGCCCCTGGGATTCTCCAGGCAAGAACACTGGACTGGGTTGCCATGTCCTTCTCCAATGCATGAAAGTGAAAAGTGAAAGGGAAGTCGCTCAGTCGTGTCCGACTCTTAGCGACCCCATGGACTGCAGCCCAGCAGGCTCCTCCATCCGTGGGATTTTCCAGGCAAGAGTACTGGAGTGGGGTGCCATTGCCTTCTCCGCCCCTCTGTTGAGGGGACAGCAAAACAGCCCGTCTCAGGCCCACGGTGCCCTGGCCCCCCTCATTTGCATCTGGAAGGGAAGGCCTCCAGGCCCATCAGGTGGCACCAGCCAGAGGAGACGACCCTGGTCTCGGTCCCCCATCCTGCTCCCAGCCCAGCCGGAAGGCTGAGTGGCTGCTGGGGGCTTCCTGGGCGTTTCTCATCTGTGCCCCTCCCTCCCTGGCCCAGGTGAAGGTGTGGTTCCAGAACCGGAGGACAAAGTACAAGCGGCAGAAACTGGAGGAGGAAGGGCCCGAGTCGGAGCAGAAGAAGAAGGGTTCCCACCACATCAACCGGTGGCGCATCGCCACGAAGCAGGCCAACGGGGAGGACATCGACGTCACCTCCAATGACTAGGGTGGGCAGCCGCAACCCCACCAGGGCAGAGTGCCACGCGCTGCTGGCCAGTCCCCCCCACCGGGGGGCCCAGCAGGACTCTGGCCACTCCTTGGCCGGGCTGCGTGGAGGCCTCAGGTCACGGCCCCGGAGGGCTCGGAGCCTGGGGCCGCCACCGACAGAAGGACAAGACATGGGCTGGCTGAGGCCCGGGACTGCTCGACCTTCTCCTTGGAGAGCCTGCCCACCTGGGCAGCGCAGCCTCCCAGCCACTCTCCATTTCTCTTATCTCCTTTTTGTTTTGACGCATTTCTGTTTTAATTTATTTTGCAGGCACCCGCTGTAGTTCTTAGTGATCCCCTTGTGTCTCCCTTCCCTATGGGAACAATAAAAGTCTCTCTCTTAATGACATGGGCATCCAGCTCCAACCCCAGAGCCTGTGAGCCTGGGGTGGTGGGTTCTGGCTCTGAGAGCCACAGGGGGAATGGGCCTGGGAATCCGGAGGGGGCCTTGGAGACTCAATCCACTGACTTTTCTCTTTTGATGGTGCTTGACCCTGGTCTCTAGCTCCAACTCCACAGCAAGAGAAACTGAGGTTAGCCGTAGGGAAGGAACACCCTGTGTTCTGAGGGAGGCTGTGCTCAAGTCTTCCCAAACTTAATGAATGGTGGGAATCAGGCCCAGGTGGGTCATGGAGGAGAGAGCATCCATACTTCTCCATGCATGGAGCTCTGGTGACCTCCAGTCGAGGGCAAAATGGGGCTGGGTAGAGGGGGCACCCTTCCCAGAGGCTGACCACCTCTGCCCCAAGTCCTGCCCCACCAGGATGCGCTCCTGTCCCTGCAAAGCCCCCCTGGGTAGATGAAAGCTTCAGAAACAGGGCTGCAGGCCGAGCTTGCAACTGGTTCCTGGGGCCTTAGGGCCTTCCAGCCTGGGAAGGAGGTCGAGGCAGGGCCCACCGATCTCTGGTTCATCTGCCTCCAGTTGGTTCACTTGTCTTTCCTGCTTGTCACACAGCAAGGTTTCCTTCACCCTGAGAAAACCTCTATTTGTAACCTGTACCCAATACCTCTGGCCCTGACCATGGCCAGATGGCCCTCTACCTCTCCATCTCCCACGTGCTCCACACCCCCTGCTCCCCACCTCTGCCTCACCACTGGGCGGATAGTGAAGACTGTCACCAACCATGGTTACTGCCACCCCCTTGTGGCCAAACTCAACGCCTCCCATCTGGCTCTCCATCTTGTGGCCATTCCCTCCTAGGCTTCCCCCCCACACCCCCGCCTTTACTCCGGTACCTCTGATGCCTCTTCCTGCCTTTCTGAGTCCTCCCCACTCTTATCCCTGTCCTGTCACCTCTGTCCACACCAGGGTCGGTCCGTGCCCGCCTGCCTGCCTCACTGTGCCCTCTGCCTGGGCCTTCTCTTTGGTTCCAGGTCAATGCCACCAGCTGACCTCTGCTGAGCTGCAGACCCACGAGCAAGCTGCCTGCTGCACCCCATGCCCCCCAGCACCTCATACCTAACCTGTTCTCCTCCAGGACTGCCCACCTTTGCCAACAACCAAGGTTTCTTCTACCTTGGGAAACAGTGTAGACGGATCCCAGGGGTTTGGGTGGGGAGGGGAGGAGTGGGAGGCATAATGAGCTTTGTGTGGATATCCAGGATGAGGCCCACTTCAAAGGAGCTGTGCTGTGCCTAGGGCTCTCTTCCTCAAGCCCAAATAGGAGCACATTGCCGCCGTCCTAAGCCCCCCACTGTGCTCCCTTCTTTCCCACCCTCGGCCTCTCCTCCTTCACCCCTGGTGTCGTCTGCCTCCGTCTCACCCACGTCATCTGTGTCGCCCAGTGAGCTAGGGATTTTGCTTGTGCTGTGCCTTTCCTTATCCAATTCTTGGCACCTGGAATGTCCTGGGGGGTTGATCAATGTTGAAGTCATTGAGAAGATGTCAAAGGCCAAGCTTTGTCGCTTGAGGCACACAAAGGGATCCTAGCACAGAAGGTCCTATTGCTGGGGGCTGTCAGTGTCTCTCGTGGGTCCACTCAATGCCAGAAACCTAAGGGCCACATTCCATCCCAATGCCTCCCTCCCAAACATCAACCAGGAAAATGCTTCCCTCACAGCCTGAAAGTCCTAACCTGGGTTAAGTCTAAGTTGAATCTCACAGTGAACTCTCACTCCCAGACAGGTAGGATAACCTCTGGGGAGAATGTATGTGCAGGTGGGGTGAAGGTAAGAAGAGGAGGCATTGTTTGGGGTTTTTTTTTTTGCCCCACTAGGGGTGGAGGAATGGGTAAACTCTTCCTCTCTCACTTGGTGGGGGAGGGGATGCAGGAAGATCACAGCAGAGCACCCCTGTCATCCCCATAAAGGGCTGGAAAGGACTCAAGGAAACCTGCCAATCTTCCCGGGCCAGGCCTGCAGGGGGCGGGGCGGGAGTCCCGGCGCACTCCCATCCATGCCCCATGTTGTGCCTCTCCCCGCAGACGGTAAATATTGGTGTTGTGACTTCATTAATAAAGGCTTCTGTGAGCCTGAAAAACATGGAATCAGGATGAACTATTTTCTGAGCTGTGGGCTTGCCAGGTTTGCTAATTTGGGAGTTTTTGGGCCCTCTCCAGGGAACAAACCAAAGTCTCTCTCGAGGAGACACAGATGCAGCGGGAAGGGGAGAAGCAGGGAGGAATGATGCTCCCTTCCCTCCCCCAACCACGCCTCCCCCTGGAGATCAGGGCCCTGCGGAGGTGAGGATCAGGACAAGGCTGGCCGGCCGGACAGGGCCGTTCAACAGGCCTTCCCTGGGCAAGTTGACTCAGTCGCAGCCCTCGGTCGGGCTGGCCTCCGGGGCCGATGGGGCTCACAGGCCTCTACTGACAGCACCTTGAGAACCCCAGGGGCGTGTGGCTGAGGCGGAGGGGATGCAGGGCGCTGTCCTCAAGCCTGGTGGCCTGTGCAGCGTGCCTCCCGTCCAGGGCGTGATCTTGGCATGCCCCCTTATCCTTGGGACTTTCTGGGCCTGGTCCCTCCGCTCTCTGCAGCCATGGTTGGGCTCCTCCCTACTGGTGCTGGGATCTCTTCCTGTGGGGCTTTGTGGAATCCTCACTCATAAACTGGAAGGGAGCCGGGCCGGGGCCCACCGGCCTCTCTGGGGGCGTTGTGCAGGGCAGCCCCCCGGGGAGGGGCAGGGAGGCCAGCAGGCTGAGCGGTGCGGGGCCCAGCCAGCTTTCCCGTCAGACAGGCGCTGCCAGAGCGGAGCCAGACATCGGGAACAGGTTTAACCAATTACCGAGCGCCCCATCTGCTGTCTGGGGCGTGTGTGAGGGTGAGTGCGTGTGAGGGTGTCTGGGAGTGTCTGGTGGGGCTGTGGGCGTGCTGCATGTGACTATGACCATGGGGGCGTGTGTGGGTGACTGGCTGCAGGTCCCAGTAAGCCCCCTCATTTGTCAAAGACTGTGGCTCCTGGCTCCTGGTCCTCCCAGACATCCTGAACCTCCTCTTAAAACCTGGGGGTCTACATGGACAACCCATCCAGCACCCCAACCTCTCACCCCCTTTGTCCCTCACCACCACCCACTCTTTGGGCAAATCAGAGCCCAGAATCCCACCTGCTTTCCGATCCCACGTTCAGATGCCTGTTCCTGTCAGACCCCATGCTCTTTCCTGTCACTCACATGATTTTCCTCTCCATCCGTGCTCTCACCTCACGGCCCCTCCATCCTCTCTCTGACATCCCCTGGTCCTGCCCTTCCTTAGTTGTGCCTGGAGAAACCACACACTTGCTTGAACCCGTTTTCCCACCTGCCCTGGCAGCTGAGTCCGTGAGACCATCGGACCAGTGAGCTACATGGCGCCCCTCCGCTGAGATTTCACCCCACTTATAGGCCCATTCCTGTTCTCCATGGGGTGTCTCAAACCTCTCCCCAAGGTTCTCCTCCAAACCCCTTTCCCCCTTACCCTCAGCAGAGGAACTTACTTCCATCTAGAAGCACTAGAAGGGAGCACCTTTGTATCAGCCAGGGGCCCAGTGGAAAGAGATGGTCTCTTCAAATGGAGCACTTTGAGGAGAGTTAGATAAAGGAGAATTAACACCTTTTGGGAAACCAACAAGAGATGTTGCAGGACCCCAGGACTAGCAACAGTTGGGAACCCATGTGGCCTTCAGGCCTGAAGAGGCCAAGCAAGCGCAGGAGCAAGTGCCAGAGCCTAAGAGGACAGTTGGATGGAGGGAGCCCCAAACAGGAGCTATGGCCTTCAGGAGCAAAAGGCCCACAAACTGCAGGGGGCTTCGGAGGGGAAAGCTCCAGTCTCGCTCTCCTCTGATCCTCCAGTCTCCTTCCAGTGACTCCCAGTGGCGGAAGCCAGAGAGCAAGTCTGTATGAGTCAGCCTCCTGGGACGGCCTGTGGGTGGAGAAGGTTGCAGGGTGGATCTGGAGGGGCCAGGGAAGCTAGCCTCCATGCCCCACCATCTTCCCGCCCTTAGACCCACACCTCCTGCATCCAACCTGTTCTCTCCTCCCCTTGCTACCATTCCCTGACACCCTGGGGACCTCACTTCTGGGTGGTTCTTCCCCTTTCCTGCCTTCACACTCTCTTTCACTCTCATCCTTTAGAGCGCTGACCCGCCCAAGAGTCTCCCTCCTAAAGCCCTCCCTTGACCCCCATGTGATCCTGGCAGTCAGTGGGAGTCCTGCTAAGTTCTCAACCCATGGAAATCTGTGGCCATGACCACACTCCACTGAGACCATTCTCTCCAGGTCTTTCCAAGAGACACACCTCGGTCTTCATTTTCCTTCAACTCTCAGCATGTGTTAAACACCCGGACAACCTCTCCTACTTGCATTCTCATTTCTGGTCGTCTGGGATACCACTCATCCTCCTCTTTCTTCTTGTATTAGTCCGTTAGGGGTGCCACAACAAGCACCACCAACTGGGTGGCTTAAACAATAGGAATTTTTTTTTTTTCTCATAGTTCTAGAAGCTAGAAATCCAAGCTCACAGTGCCAGCAGGGCTGTTTTCTTCGGAGGGTTCTGTCTTTGGCTTGCAGATGGTGTCTTTGTGTTCACCTGGTGTTCGCCCTCTATGTGTGACTCTGTCTGAATTTCCTCTTCTTATAAGGACAGTAGTCATACAGGTGAGATTTGGGTCCATCCTAACTGATCTCATTTTAACTTAATTACCTCTTTAAGGATTGTACCTCCAAATGGAGTCACATTCTGAGATGTTGCAGGTTGGGACTTCAACATACTGGGGAGACCTAGTTCAGCCCACAGTCCCTTTCTTGGGGCTGATCTTCTTTGCAGTCCTCACAGATGGGGACCCCTGGAGGTTCCTGCCCAGGTCTTCCTCTTTTCCCTCTACATGCTCCCCCCCGGGTGGTTGCCTCTGTTCCTTTAGCTCCAGGTGAAAAGTCAAATTGTTAGTCCCTCTGTAGTGTGTGATTCTTTGTGACCCCGTGGATTGTAGCCTGCCAGGCCCCTCTGTCTGTGGAATTCTCCAGGTAAGAATACTGGAGTGGGTTGCCATTCCCTTCTCCAGGGGATCTTCCCAATCCAGGGATTGAACCCCAGTCTCCTACAGTGGCAGGCTAATTCTTTACCATCTGAGCCACCAGGGAATCAATAAATGGACAACATGCCAATCTACATGGATTGAGATTGGATACCCTGCCTGCCTCCTGAACTCCAGACAGGCGCTCCCAATTGACTTCTGACATCTCGACTTGGTTGTCTCATAGGAACCTCTAGTAACTTGCAGAACAGAATGCATCATCTTCTCTGCAAATTTGTTCTTCCTTCTTTGTTCCTCAGCTCTGAGAAATGGCACCACTATCTATGTCCTCAACTAACAAAGCCAGGAATCCAGGGCCATCTTGGACTCTCCTCTGCCATCCTTTCCACATGAATCAGCAGGAGCTAAGCAGTCCTGAACCTCCTCACTTCTCTCCATCCCATCCCACCACTTGGTCCAGGTCCCTCGTCCCTCACCTTGACTGCCATAGAGGTCTCTTCCCCGGTCTCCCCAGCAGTCTTGCCTGTTCACACTACCCTCTGCTCTGGTGACGGCTGAATATCCATTTCCCTACTTAAAGCCTCTGGTGGCTCCAGCTGTCTTCGGCGTTGCAGCGGCCGGCTCACTGACATCCCCAGTGTCTTCCTGCAGCTAGCCTCTGGAAAAGAGGGAGGACCCTGCTGTACTGCCCGTCCCTCTGCGTGCACACGTGTGCAGAAGCTGAGAGCCAGCCGGGGACTGATGGCAGCCCCCTGCCCTCATTTCCCTGCTGGATTTGGGTGGGGGTCTTCAGGGGGTGTCCGATGCCTACGTCTGTCTCCTCATGTGCACACCTTCTCTTTCCCCATGTTGTTCTCTCCTTCCTTCTCTTCACCTCTCTGCAAGGCCCAGGGAACTGGAGCGAGGTGGGATCCCAGATCCTAGCCCCGGTTGAGCAGCTGTCCTTGTCGAGAAGGAGCCAGGCTCTGACCTTGGACAGGCTGCCAGCAGCTTCCTCGGAGTGAGACACAAACACTTCTGGGCTACTGCCTGAGAGACGCATCTGGTACTGAGGGAAGCATGGTCCTGGGGGGTGAGGCCTTTCAGGGAACGCTGAGTCTTTCCTGTTTGGGGAGCTAATCAAGGGCAGTGGGATGGGTGAGATGGCAGGAGCAGCAGCAGCCCTGGGGGACCGAGGGAGGCTCCATCCTGAAAATGAGGTTGGGCTCCCCAGGGCCTTGGGAAAGTGTCACTCATCACTGCTTTCCTCTGTGGCACTCTGACTCTCCTCCTAACCATGGCCTGAGTGGGAGGAGGGAGGCGCTAGGGGCCAGTGGGTGGGGATGGGGCCAGGGGAAGCCACATTCCTGGAGTGTCAGTGATCTCTGGGCTGGGCAGAAGTTGAGCCTCTGAACTAGCTAAAAACAACAAACAGCTCCCAGGAGGGATTTGCGTCTGTCCTGAGAGTCAAGGATTTCCGTCCGGATGGCGGCCGTGGCCAGTGAGGCTCTTAGCAAATTCCCCAGAGACCAGGCGGCCCCTGACCTAAAAGTATCACTTTGAGAACAGACCCCTCCCCCATCCTTTTTCCTCCTCCCACCCTCCTAGGGAGGCCCTGTGCCTAGGTGGGGGGGGCAGCAGCCCCTCTGACACCCAGGAGGCGTGTGGAGAAGAGTCTGGGTGCGTTCCTCACCTGGTCTCTTCAATACTTAACCCAGTCCAGCGAGCGATGCTGTTCTTGACATTTTATAGCCTTAGCCACACCAAAGTGCTGCTGGAGATGTTCCATAAACACCTGACCGAATGAATGGGTGAATGGAGGAAGCGATCAGCTAGAAGTCACAGTCATGCTGAGGCCAAACTGGAGCCTGGAGCCGGAACCTGGGGCTGCCTGACCATGAACCACACCTCCACTACTTGGTCCCCCTGGCAGGGAGGCCATCAGCTCCATCAGCTTCTCCCTGCAGAGGGTGCACGATGCTTGGAGGTCCCAGACAAGAAGCCAGGCCTCACCCCCGCAGGAACTCTGGGAGCTGCCTGGAATTGGAGGAGCCAGAGCTGTCCGGAGGTGGCCAAGGCTTGGCCCCGAGGGACTGTGGAAGAGTCCGAAAGGGGCAGAGTTGCCAAGGATGGTACCTTGCACAACTGCCAATGCCAGGTACCTTTCTACTTGGCTCACACCTCTCCCTCTGAAGTCCCTCCTGGCCCCCAGGCAGTCCAGAATGCATCCCCCCCACCCCCGACCCCGCCCCCCGCAATGCCTCCCTCCTGTCCTCTGGCTATCAGCAGCTGAGAATCTACCAGAATCCCTTTTCTACTCATTTCCTTGCAATGGGCCTTAGTGGGTGCTGCATTCAGCACCCGCTTTGTAAAGGGTCCCTTGGCAGAGTTTCAACTCACCCCTTTGTCCAGGTTTCTGCCCTCTCCTGCTCCTCCATCCTCTGTCTCTCTTTCCCTATGGGCCTCCCAGCAGGCCTGACCCTCCTAGAGGATTGGTTTGCACCTTCCTCAGGGCCTTCCCACAAAATCCTCAGTCAGCTGTTGGCTTGTTCCCACTGTGTTTCCCCACCCTCACCTCTCCCACCCACAATTCACAAAGCCAAGCCCTGATGCCTTAAATCCATCATTTATTGCCCACACCTCAATAGTGTTACATAAATCACAGAGTTTGAGAAATTTTCTGAGAAGGTTAAAAAGACACCGCAGAGTACCCTGGGAGTGAACGAGGCCTGAGTGCTGGCGCCTCACTCGCTCTGACCCAAGGCTGGAAATCTACCTTGCTTCCGTCCACCGGCCCTACTCCTCTCAGGCCATCAGGACAGGAGATCAGCTGGCTCACAGTCAGGAATTGGAAAGGGGTCGTTTGGCCATCTCGGCGTCTTGGGCTTTTAGTCCCTGTGCTCTCAGATTACTCTCTGGGATGGCAGCAGGTTAGCCCCAAGCCTGAGGGAATGTTTGAAGTGACCAGAGGAGGGTGGGTAAGTACATCAGGGCTCAAGATCAGCGGCAGGCATCCCCTGTACCATGGCACAGCTGGGCCAGGCCCTGCCCTCAGTGGGTCCTGCCTCAGCCTCCACCCTAGATATGAACCAATCTGCCCACGAGGCCTCTTGTCCTCTGGCCTCAGCAGAGTGGAGGATGGATGTTGACCAAAAGTTTACCCTCACGGTATTTAATGCAGCCAGATCAGGACTCAGCAACATGGCCAGCTGAACCTCTGTCACTATTACACTGAGCTATCAGGATCCTTTGCCACCCACCCCTCACTCCCCTCTCCCCAGGAGAAACCCCCTTAGCGCACATGAAATTGCATTGGGAGCATGACCGGAAATCACCCAGGAGACAAAGTAAGTAGGTTATGAGATGCCAAGGCCACAGGACTCCCAGGGCTGGGGCAGCGAGCACACAGGCTGAGTTGGAAAGACCCCCGTCTCTGCCAGGGCCCTGGAGAGGATGGGAGAGGGGCTGGGGTGGGCAGTTTTGGTCCCAAGGCAAAGTGCAAAAGAACAAGACCCTGTGAGAGATGGGGCAAGGTGAGCTTGAAGTGAGCTTTTCACGAGAGGACCCAGACACGCCCAGCCCTGAGTCGCTGGCACATTCCCATTACAGGGGGATTAGCTAAAGACAACCTGCCTGTCTGACACTGCTCACATCCTCCATGCTGTCTCCGCCTTCTCCCTTTACTGATGGGCTGCTCCCTCGGAAAGTGGGGAGCCCTCTGAGCAGTACCCTGCAGAGCTAGCTGGGGGGCACCAGGGTCTGGCTGGGAGGAGAGGGCAGCAGGGCCTTCTGGGGATATGTGGTGTCAATGCCTGTGAAGGCCCACCTCACAACTACCCTGCCCTAAAAACAGGAAGAGCAGCCCATGGCCACGCACTTTCTGCCCTGCCCTGGTCTTTCCTGCCATGGTGTGTGTTCATCTCTGGCCAGGTCTCTCTCTCAGGGTGAAGTCACCAGCGGAGCAGAGGCTGCATATCAAAGGCTCCACTCCTGCTAGGGCCAGGTGAGGGATGCCTGGAGGCCAGGCTTCCTCTTTGTTTGGGCCTTTCAGAGGGGTGTGTGGCAGGGGGGCTATCCCGTTCACCCTCACCGCAGGCCCTGCTTCCCTCTGCAAAGCTCCTACAGAGCTCTTCTCTTTCCTGGCCTGCCAACGGGAGCCAGCAGCAAGGGGCCTCAGAGACCTGTGCTCAGTGAGAGGCGACAGCGTGGGCACGTGGGCACACGCAGGCCCAGGCAGGCACTCTGCCCCCTGCTTCAGAACTGTAAAGTATTTGGCAAAGGTCAAGTGCTCCCAGGATGCTCACACACAGAAGGGCAAGGTTCCAGTGCTGAGGCCAACTGCTGGCCATTCCCAAAGGAGCCTGCCCTGTTCCCAGTCCGCTGTCCACATTGGGGATGTGCCTGGACTGCCCAGCAACTGAGCAGGACGGGCAAAGATGAAGTCTAGCTGAAAGAGCAGGTGAGAACACCTCCGTACAGTCCTCTGGTTCCAGGCAGAGTGGAGACTCGGTGAAGGGAGTAGACTTGTCCAAGGTCACACAGCCCATTAGTGCCAGAGCTAGGGCCTGCTGTTCCAGGTTTGATGCTCTCAGGTCGATGCCTAGAGATCTGGGCTTTGGGCACAGCACCCGCCTGCTCGGGAAATGATGAACTGGTAGGAGACCCGGTGGCTAGAAATGACAGCAGGCAGCCCGGCTCCAGCCCCACCCTCGGCCCCAACACCCCGCTTCCAGCCTGTGCCTGGAAGGAAGACCTTCCCACAGAGGCCAGAGTGCAGGCACAGTTTCTGCCAAAGACTACTCCTTCTGAGGGCCTCCTGCCTGGAGCCGGAATCATCTTGGGTTTCAAATGGATCAGGGCTGCATGAGGGGTGACGACAGCCTCAGTGTGGCACTGGGCTTCATGCAGAGGAATTGGTTTCGCAGGAGTGGTGTGAATGAAGGCTGGCCACACTCAGAGCCAGCTGCCCAAGGAATCTTCCAGTGCCCCTTGACTTCCTGGGCCACTTGCTGAGGAACTTCCTCACAGCTGGTTCATCTGCCTGCCTCCCCTCCCCAGCCCAGGCAGCTATCGGGCCTGGCCTCAGTAGCATCTTAAAACCAGCAGCCCAGCCACCGAGACCACCAACTCCCAGGCCTACTCCTCCTCCCACCACCTGCTGCCTCTGGGCAGCTGTAACCGAGGCTTGATTCTGATTAAAAATAAAAAAGAAATCAAGTATAAAAGGATCCTAACCCTACCCCATGGGCACTCTACAATTTTTCAGCTTCACACATAATTGTGCTAAGTAGAGTTTTGACAACCCCACGTAAGGCCCAGAAATGCACTTGATTATTTTTTATAGTAAATGTGTCAGAATTCTTCTCCCTTATGTTAATTCGTGACTAGATTAGTCTCCCTACCACTGTGGAGGGAGTGCTCCCCCAGGTGGCCTGGGACTGGGGGGGTCAGCTTGTCTCTCCCTGCAGGTGCAGCCCACAGGACTTCTTCCTTGGCCCCAACTCCGGGCCTGGACAACGCTCTGTCCCCAGGCCGGCCGGCCACTGCTCACAGACCCTTGTTGTACACCACTGTCCGGCTGCTCGTGGCCCGGGCAATCTCAGGCTCTAACTGGCTTGTTTCGATCTGAGGAGAGAGTGAGAGAGAGGGAAAAGGTGAGGGGGATGGGAGGGAGGGGACAAGTAGGGAGCTGGGGGCAGCGGTCAGGACCACCTGGTTCTGACGCTTCTCCCTCTGCCCCCGGCACCCCAGCCAGGGCCCACGCATGCCGCCTAGTGACACATCTCCCGTTTCTACTGTCCTTCTGCTGAGGGGCTCACGACACCCCTTCCAGCCAAGGCTGTACCTCATCTGCTGCCAGCACGTCCATGTAGGGGAAAGTCCTACCCTCTGAATTCTCCGTCTCCCTCATCTCCAAGGACCTCGTCCCCAACAGTGCACAAAACACGCCCAGGCCACACCCTGGGCCTGGTCACCCCTGGGGCTAGTCCACCCAAACTCAAATCCTAACCCCACCCTCTTGCACCCCACCGTCCCCTGTGCCTCCAGGCACCCTCCTCACTCTCCTATCTGCTTTCAGACAACTGGCCCCAGCCCCAGGCTCTCTAGAGCTGTCTTCACACCTTCCCCCTCCAGCCTGGATGTGAGAGGCCACCGCTCCAGCCTCTCCAAGCTGCAAGGCCCTTCTGGCCTGACTGGCAGAAGGAGCAGCTCAATCATGCATCTACCTTCTCCCTACTTGAAGCTGACCACTAGCAGAGACTTCAACCTTCACTGTCGTGACTTTGGCTGGACCCTCACGGTGGCCAGCAAATCCCCACCCCTGGGCCATATGGCTGGTCAGCTCCGTCTCCCATTCTCCACAGAGGCCACAGAAAGCCTCCTCTGCTCTCCTCAGCCACCCCGCCCTCAGCTTCCCACTCACCTTCCTACTTTGGAGTGAAAACAGAAGGCCTCACAAGGCACCCCTCAGCTTCTCGTCAAACCCACGACCTACCTGTGTCCACACTCTGCTCCGGATGTGCCCTCCTGCTGCCCCACTGCGGTTATCCCTCCCCCCGGAGGACCCCACACCAGAGACCACTCCCAGATGGCCGACCCTGTTCCCCACCTTTTCAGGGGCTCCTGCTCATTAGCAGAGAACCTCCCATCCGATACCCCCCCTTACCCCAGGTCATGTTCCTGCTACCACTGGGTCTCTCTGCCCCATAACAACCACGCTTCTTTAAGGCACTGTCCACTCTTTAAGGGCAGCTCCATCTCCTCGGCTCCCACTGATTTCCCAACCCGCTGCAAACCTGGCTTGTGTTTCCACTCCCCTCCACAAAAGTCTTTCTCTCCAAGGTTACTCCCAGCTCCCTTTTTGTGACACCTACTGGACGCTTCTCACGGTCTCGGGGTCCCTCTTCCCTGCACACCGCTCCATAGGTACTTCTACTTGACCCATCTAGAACAGAACTGAATTCCTGTCTCTTCCTCCCCGACCCCAGCTTCACAGCACCATCCAACAGTGCTCTGGCCAGGGATCCTGGGGGCTTCCAGACCTCCACTCTCCTCCCCTCACTGTCTCACCTCCTCCAGTCCCTCTTCCACCACAGCCAGGGTGAGCCTTCTCAGCAGCAAGTCCGATCATGCCTCTCTTTACTATGAAATAGCTCACCGGCACCACTGCCCTCGGGGACCCAGACCCTGCCTCCCACTCGCCACCCTATCCGTGGGATTGGGGACATGGCACACCTGCCTATCACAGTGCCTCAGATACGCGGGCTTATTCACACCCCGTCTTTGCCTGAGCTGCCCCTCTGCCACTTCCTCGCCTGGCCAACTCTGATTCTCTGGACCTCAGCTCAGCTTCCAGGCCTCTGCTTCAGACATCTTCCCTCGCCCAGGCTGGGTGTGGCCACCTCTCCAGCCCCACACTTGCCTCCCTTTGTACACTTGTTGTAGCACATGATTCGAGGCTGACTGCTTGCTCCTGTTCCCCTTCCCATGGCAGATCACAAGCTCCATGAGGCAGCCAGTGCATGCTGTTGTGCATCCTGCATCCTCAAGGCCCCCAGTGCCAGGAGACGGTAGGTGTTCTTAAGTGTTGAGTCAATGAGTGGAAAGAAGAAAGGCAGAAAGTACTGGGAGGGTAGGGTCCCCTTGGAGTCCCCACAGCAGCCCAGATGTTGACCCACAGCTCTGGGGACTGAGCCAGTGGGGATGCCTGAGCCCCTAAACCTGAGGGAGCTGAGAGGGAGGCACCACCTCCTCCATGAGGGGCCCTGGCCTGACACCCTGGGTTGAATCAGGAAGCACCAGTTGTAAGTCAGCTCAGCTGAGCCTGGTCCCAGGTACCTGCTATATATCAAGACACCGCAACCCTGGGGAGCAGGCAGGAGGTGCCATGGCCTGGCCCAGCTTTCGGAGAACTCAGTTATGTCTGCGGCCAGGCAAGAGGGGATTCACTGTGGACTGCAGCTGGCAGGGACCCTCTCCCTGTGGTCTCTAGTACCCCAATCCATAGGCCACTTGAGAAGGCCAGAGAGACAAGAACCAGGCTCAGGGCCCAGGCCTCTTCCCCACCCGCTCTCCTCACACCACCTCCTCCCTCCCCACCCCGCTGGCCTCGAGTCCTCTCCACCCCCCAGCTCCCCTCGTCCCCACGCTGCCACTGACACAATGCACAGCGCCCACGCTTAAAAATCTAAATGCTTTTGAAAATGTTTAACCTAGTTAGACAAATTAGCAAAAATTTGTGCAAAACAATTTAGGTATTTAAAATATTCAATGTTTTTAAAAAACTGGAAAACTGTTCTTAGCTTTCAGCTGCAAAAACCAACAAAATATAACATCCCAGCAATCTTACCATGAGGTGTAACATAACCCTTCGGGAAAGCTGTTAAACAGCTACTGAGGCATCCTGGGAAATAGCACTTCATTTATTCAAATGCACATATGTCAGGCTTTTGCACCATATGTCATTCCAAGCTATTTACAGTAATAATTAAATCTTAATCAACGTTTAACCTCTGTAAAATGTTTGAAGAATCCTAATCACCCTTCAGACTGCACTAATGAAGGAGAAATATATAAACATAAAAGGAAAATGATGCATAGATATCACGCTGGAAAGAACAGTAATTGCAAAATTGTATTTCTTTTAAATATAATCAGTAAATGATGTAAAGTAAGCCAAGGAGTATTTTAAGTTAAGACATCTTGGATGTCAGAGGTGTGAGCAGCTAATTTTGTTCTGCTACCCATAACAGATGTAGCATATTTTATTTTAGTGCCATTATTAGCAACTTCCCATGCCGGCTTTCACTGAAGCACTGAGTCCCGCATTAAAATCGGAGAGGCTGCTCACCACCATGGTGGAGGACCACGGGCCAGGGCCACAGCCTCCTCGGCCCGTTCCCTGGAGGGCACTGGCCCTGGTGGAGACCGAGACCTTATCTTTTCAGTGGAGCTGTCGCAGACCCAGGCTCCCCCCCCAGCTCCCCACTGAGCTGAGGACAGCAGGTAGGAGGGAAGCAGGGGGGAGACGCAGGCAATGAGAAGGCTGCGGGGGAGGGCGGTGGTCGAGCCCCTCAGCTCAGGAGCAGGCACTTGGGGACAGATGGCATCTAAGGCTTTTCCTCTCATTTCAATTTAGTCGGCCCTTAAGTAGCAGATGCTTATGGCTGTCAACGCCATACACTGGGCTGGGCACAGAGATGGACAAGACCAGCCCGTGCCCTTGAGAAGCTTCAAGTCTAGGGGAGGAGTCAGACAGAAAAACAGATGGATTCAGAGAGACAAAGTGCCATGGCAACTGGGGAGGAGTTACCATGCACTGGGGGTTACCATGCATTGATGAAAGAACAGGAAAGGAAGACGTCTCAGGGGAGGGAAGCCAGGAAGAAATGGGCGTTTTGATGAGAGGGTAGGAGAAGCTTGCTGGGGAAAAGAAGAGCGTTAGCTGGCCAGCATGGCAGGTTTGGTGTGGGCAACGGTGGACAGGTTGGAACATGGAAGAAATGGAGGCGGAGCTGGGACAGGTAGGCCCTCGTAGGCCACATGAACATGTCAGCATTTTATCTGAGGGCAATAGGGAGCCACTGAAGGCTTCTGAGCAGGGGTGGTCCAAGATCCCCATCTTGCTGGTGGTGGTGGGATGGAGGAGTAAGTGAGGGGGCAGCTGCAGGCATCAGAGAAAGATGCCAGGTCCTCCCTATGATGCTCCCAGTGGGGGCTGATGGGAGGGTGTGCTGGGGATCCTTTCTGAAGACAAAACCCTTAGGAGTTGATGACCAATTCCATGTGGGGGTAAGAGGGAGGTGTGGAGGATGACTGTGCGTTGGATGATTCCT